TACCTTTCTCAGGGTACCTCAGTGGTGCCTTGCTGCCCGACACAAACTGATATCGCGGAGGTGGATTTCTCAGAGATTGGTGCTGAGACTGTGTTATCACAGTATCTGAAGGAGGAAGGGAGTGTCCACCCTTGTGCTTTCTATTCGCGTAAACTGTCTCCCACAGAACACAATTACAACATGAGCAACTGGGAACTGCTGGCCATAATACTGGCCCTCAAGGAGTGGTGTCACTAGTTCAAAGGCACAGCTCACCATTTCCAGGTACTGACTAACCACTGAAACTGGAGTACCACAAAACTGCTAAGTGACTTTACCCGTCCATCCCTGATCCCATCTGGCACTCAACTTCATCATGGATGTGCCCCGATCCCAAGGTCACATGGTGGTTCTGATGGTGCTGGACCGTTTTTCCAGGTTGTGCCAGCTGTTATCTCTTCCCAAGCTCGACCAACAGACAGTCCTCTCCAGTACCCCAACATAGATCTTACCAGGGAGGCTGAAGAGTGAGGATCCCCTTGTAGTTGGGACACATCCTCCAGTGCCCTTTTTTTTAAATTGGGACCACCACCCCTGTGTGCCAATCCAAAGGCACTGCCCCCAATGTCCACAGAATGTTGAAGAGGTGTATCAGCAAAGACAGCGCAACAACATCAAGAGCTTTCAAGAACTCAGGGTGAATCTCATCCACCCCCAGAGCCTTACTACCGAAGTTTTTTGACTTCTTCAGTGACCTCTGGTGAGCCTTACAGCTCTACTTCCTCCATGGAACGCGTATCAGTGGATCAGGAGATCCTCAAGATATTCTTTCCACTACCTGACTATATCACCAGTTGAGGTCAGCAGTTCTCAAACAGCATAGGCAAAGCCCGGCTTCCCCCTCTGAGTCGTCCAATGGTTTGCTAAAATCTTTTTGAGGCCTAAAGTCCTTCTCCGTAGCCTCACCAAATTCCTCCCACTGCTGAGTTCTTGCTTCAGGATCCACTTCCAGCAGAACAATGGTGTCCCTTCTAGCACCCCTTCCAAGGTCTCCAACAAGGCTGGATTCTCTTGACAGGTGTTCGGCATGTACACACAAACAGGCAGAGCGCCACCTCCAACTCAAAGTTGAAATGAGATGACCCTCTCGTTCACCCGTTGAACATCGATAAACTTGCACCACAGCAGGGGTTCTATCAGCAGACCCACCCATCTAGTCAGTATCTCTCTACCTCCCGCACCAGTTCCGTCTCCTCTCATACCAGAAAGGTTACGTTCCAGTACCGAGAACCAGTTTTGGTAGCCAACGATCTACACTGCACCCAACGCCCATGGCTTCCCCTGACGGTCATGGGCCCACAGGAGGGTGGACCCACATTACTCCTTCAGGTTGTGCCTAGCTGGGCCCCATGAGCGGAGGCCCGACCAGCAGGCACTCAACCTCCAGCTCTCTCCAAACCTGGCTGCAGGGCAAGGCCCCGGTGTCCCCAATCCAGGTGGGATAACATGATACATTATATTTTCCTTCATCATGAGGGTCTGATTTGCACTTAGTCTAACTGCTCACCTAGGACCAATTTGCCATGGGAGACCTTACCGGGGGCAATTGCCCCCGACAACATAGCTCCTAGGATCACAGAGGCACACAAACCCCACTGTGATAAGGTGGCGTTTCATGGAGGGGTGAATAATAAATTTATTATAAAACATGCAAGGATTGTACTTGTGGTCTTAAGACTGGTCTTGCTAACTAGCCTCTCAAGGGAGGCTAGTTAAAATAAATAATGGGATTGGTCTCGTTTGGTGTGGATGCAGCTGATCTATCCTTGATACTTGGGATGGGGCAAGAAAGGCATCCGGGGATTTTTACCATTCTCTGTACTTCTTGAGTATTGGAACGGTCAAGGACACTTATTGAGAAACACCCACTATTTACCAGTCTTTTTCCTCGACACACAAAGCTGTGACATCACAACAATGTGTTTGGTCAGTTGCAGCGATGCAGTGATGTTGCCGCAACATTAATTATCGGTGTTTCTCAATACCAAGAACACAAATATCGTACTTGTGGTCTTGGCAAGACCGGTCTTTTTAACTCGCCTCCCAAGAACGAACATTGGGCGCAATGAATCATGGGATTGGTCTCATTCAATGAGGATGCAACTGATGTATCCTTGATATTTGGGGCGGTGCAAGACCAACATCCAGGTATTTTAGAATTTAGTGATAAGTTCTCATTCTTGACACAGCACAGTGCACGACAACCAAGTATGTTCTCTGCATTTAACCCATATGTGACAATGTGACATAGCAGGGGGCAGCTAATTCAGCACCCGGGGAGCAGTGCTTGGGGGTGGTACCTTTCTCAGGGTACCTCAGTGGTGCCTTGCTGGTCAGGGATTTGAACCTGCAATCTTTTAATTATGAATGCACTTCCCTAACCGTTAAGCCACCTTAGTATTGGAATTTGGTCTTGGCAATGGAAGATGATGTAAAATGGTTACACAAGAACCCAAGTACACATACTGAGAAACACCCAATGATGTTATAGGAACAATATCAACACAATGATATCAGATTGCGCAATATGATGCAGCCACATTTGGCAACACCATGCAGCACAATAGGCAATACCATACAGCCACAAAAGATGATACAACGCTGCCACTGCACCTTGCCATAGCACCCTCCCAACTAAACCGTGGCTGAGAATAAGACTGTGTGTACCAGTGTGGGGCTCTGTGGGTTAGGATGCTGTGCCTGTGATCAGAAGGTCACCAATTTGAATCCCAGATTTGTCAGAGTGATTTTGTGATTATGCCCCTGAGTAAGGCCTTTAACCCCAATGGCTCTAGGGATTGTCTGATTTCTCCTTTCTGAATTGTATGATGCTTTGGATAAAATCTTCTAAATATTTAGATGTACCTAAATCTTAATTAGCCTATAGGCAGGTTGATGGTAATGCTGATACTGTTACAAGGTGCCAGTAGCATTTCCTTATGTAACAGCATCAGGCTCCAGTGCTGTGAGGTAACTCACCAGCACAGTAAACTGCAAGCCCTGCTCTCCATGGGCCATGGAGTCTTCACTGGAGCCACTCCTTGGAGAGATGTGACTTGAATTGTCTGGTATTTGGCAGGATCTCCCCATCAGATGCTGACTCTATGGGCAGCAATCCATCCAGTGGAAGGGAGTCAGCCGAAGAGAACGCCCGCATCCATGAAACTCCCAGTGAGGGGAAGCAGCTGCGGAAGCCCCCCAAAAATGGCAAGTGCCACTAGGCCATCCTGGGTCTCTCTCTCTCTCTCTCTCTCCCCCTCTCTCTCACACACACACACACACACATGCATGTTGGGTAAACATATCTTTATAAGGACCGCTCATTCATTTCTATGGGAAAAATTCTAATGCTAACTATGAGAACCGTAACCCCTACCCAGCCCTAATCATAACCATAAGTAACCAAGCAAAATACAGTTTTTGCATTTTTAGTTTTTTCATTGCAGTCCCAGATTTTTATTAAATTGAGGAAACTGGTCCCCATAAGAGAAAAAAAACAGGTATTCATCACGTTGTGGGGACATTGTGTCCCCATAAGGTAAGGTATACCCGCTCACACACACACAGAGGTTTGTAATTATGTCTTTGTAGGGACTCTCCATTCATTTCAATGGGGGAAAACTTTAATGACAACATGACGATCTTAACCCCTACCTTAACCATAACCAAACAAAATTCAAGACTTTTGGAATTTTTACTTTTTTGATTGCATTCACAAATCTTGGTGGGGACCTGAAAAATGGTCCCCACAATGTAAAAAAAAAAAACGGAGGACACTTAGTCCTAAAGAATGTCCCCCAATGAGCAGTCTGTCCTGGTAAAGCTGTACAGGAGGGTCTGTGCCAGGGCCTCACTCATTCTGCACTTCCTGCTCTCTGGAGCTTGCAGACAGCTCCTCTAGTCTGCACTGTTATAGTACAGAGAGCTTCAGTGCTGCTCTGTGCTCACAGTGCTGACGGTCTGGATCTGATCAGCACAGTAAAATTAATAATTCTGTCAAGTTCCCTCTTCTTACTGCTGATCTATGCCTTATTGTATCACTCAGGGGAGAATTAAATCAGTAAGAAATATTTCCTCTTCATGACTGGTGGATAGAACGCTGGTCATCTGGTCTGTGAAAGCTATGTGAAACCTGTGTACTCTCCAAGTAGTTTGTGATGGGGTTTGGTCCATTTTGAGTCCCAGTGGATATAATTCTGACATCGGAAGACTAGATATTACTGTGCTTAGCCCACTACTTTAGCATTAATCATCCTCTGTGGTAAATATAACATAAGTTAATTAGTAAGAGTAATTTAATAAATGTAGGGGTAGCACGTGGTTTAGTGGGCTAAGCCTGTAATCAGAATGTTGGCAGTTCGAACCCAGCTTCGGCACGTCTGCAGGTGCTGGAGCAAGACCCTTAACCCCCAGCTCCCTGGGCACCACAACAGATGGCTGCTCTGTACGCCCATGGGGATCAAAAAGTATCTATTATTATATGCTTCAGGTGAACTAATGACCCAGTTTGAATTGGAAGTATTGTATGTATTGACTTTACATTTTAATTATTGTGAATGGAGGCACACACTGATGAAGGCATAGTGCTGAAACCATTGTGCCATACTCGTGGTGGATCATTAATAAAGAATGCAAGTCATCTGAGTTTGGACTTTGGACCTGATTATTCTTTATCTTATTCTGAATGGGAAACTGGCATTAAAGTGGCACATTTTCCCCTTGGTGACAGAAATAAAGCGTTACAGAACTAAAGAATTGATTTTGCAGCAGGCAGTTCAAATAATCCAAAAAGTAAATCAAAAGCACTTTTTAAAATGAGTTTTGTTCCAAATCCCCTTTCTCTCAGGGGAGTAGTGGGTAGGTGATCTCCGTAACTGACTCCTTTGACTCCCCCACAACAGGACCCTCAGCAGGCAACGGGGCCAATGATCAGCAATCCTCAGCCTCCATCTTTGAGCACGTGGACCGTGCGTCTCGCCCTTCAGAATGCACCCGGCGGGTAGCCAACAAGATTCAGCTGATCGCCATGCAACCTATGCCTGCACCAGCTCCCAACAGCCCCCCTGTCATTGAGAGGGTGCTGGAGAGCACTAGTATCAATAGGGAGGTAAGGCTCGGCTCCCATCATGCCTCTTTGCCATGGGCTGGAGCTGTGTCATACAGCTTAGACTGTTACCATATCTCCCAAGAGTAGAGTAATAAGAAATGAGCAGCGATTTAATTTGAAAAAACACATTGACTGATTTCCTTGGCAGACTGGGGTCATTCTGTCTCATAACACATAAGTGTCTTCGGTTCAGATTAGGGTAGCCCTGAGGCAGAAGTCTGAGATTGAGCAGTACCGCAACAAGATCCGCCTTCGGGCCAAGAGGAAGGGACACTACGACTTTCCCACCATGGATGACCTCATGGATGGGTTCGAGCCGAAAGATGTCTACCAGAAGGCACAGCTGCAGTTCGACAGGATCCTGGACCCAGATGTTCATGTGCCTTCCGTTTACATGGAGCCCAGGAAGAGGTCAAGGGTCACAGACCGACCTTTAAATCCTTCTTTTAGTTTCAGAGTGATTTTCAAAACTACAGTACGGGGTTTGAATGAGAATCGGGTGGGTCAGGGATCTCTGCTTTTCCATGTGTAAGAGTCACTCTCAATATCAAATAAACCTGTTATATTGATAGAGATGTGTTAACAATCCAAATGCCTCCAGCAATCTGAGGTCTTGTCTATAAGCAAAAATTATTGACAAACCCTTTGAGCAGGTTTTGAGCAATAATATGTTAAAATGAGCTTTAGACATAATTTAGCTGAATATTCACACACGTCTGCCCCTGACTACTAACTGGAGATTCATATTGGTCCGTTTTATTCCTGTTCTGATAAAATACCCATTTGGAGTCTTGGTTCATTTGGTGCTGTTTGTTAAAGTGTCATTAATGAGTAACATACTGAGCGTGTGCAGGTAGATGGTCCTCTGTAATCCCTGTCATGGAGGGCCTGATGGACATGTGAGAGGGTTTAGGAGTATGCTGAGCTGCTAGGATGCATGCTGAAAAACCGGTGCTCATGGGTAATGACATGTGACCTGCATCAGCAAGGGGAGGCGGTCCCCCAAAGAGAGGAAGAGGTCCCCAATGAACGGCAGCCTGGTGGATACCGACAGTGACAGACTTATCCCCATGGACAACGACACCATGTACAGGAAGTTTCCAGGGGTTAACAACATCGCCTATGTGGTGTGTACAAACATGTTTGGTTCTTGAATTACAGTTACCATATGTTCTGTTATTTTCTCAGGAAACACAGTATGGAATCATGTGGATGTCATTAGTACCAAAACAGGAAATGTAGTAATGAACCTACAACCAGGATGTATTTTTTTTACCAATATATATTTTTTTATTTTAATATATTTTAGATTTGTTGGTGTATACAAAACACAACATACATTTCACCCATCCACATTTCAACAACTTACCTGGTCATAACAGGAACAGGATAAGACACATTTACTTTTCTGTGTATAATTCAGAATCACTGAATATTCAGAATAACTGGCAGTAATAATGGTATGACGTTTAATTAGTGCCAAAACTCGTGCGCATAAAAAAGAAGAAAACCCATGCTCTCTACGTGCTCGCGTCTGCACAGCACTCGCTCGCTCGGCGTTAAATTAGTGCCAAAAGTCGAACCACAAGCGCGTGTGCGCTCACGAGCTGAAAACCCATCCTCTCTACACGCTCGCGTTCGCTGGACCCTATCTACGCGCTCGCGTCTGCACAGCACTCGCTCACTCGACAGGATGAATTTTGACACTTTGGAGGCGGGAACAGTGGCTAATTTGGTAGAAGATGAAGATAACTTGTCACTGATATGTATATATCATATTCGATATTTATGGCTTTAATAACTTTTAACGGAAGTAAGGTGGGGAGTTTTTAATGACAGAATAGTAATGTCCAGTACATAGACAATGATGCACACCGATTATTTTTGCGCTCAGCAACTCCCTGAGAGCCCGTTCGATGAACAAATTAAACTTACGGGTTTTCGGACACTAGGTGACTCAAAAGAACCTGTTCGATGAACGAATCGAACTTACGTGACTCAAATGAACGGTTCGCGAACCGATCCCAAGAGCCCTCGTGGCGTTTACTGCGGAAATGCAGTTACGCTGTTAAAAGGAATAAAATAAACGCAGCTCTTCATCATTTATCACAACAGTAAATTATTGCATTTCTGTATAATAAAACTATATGTCTTTCATCAAAGAACAAACTAAGATATTTATTAACTTTGACGTTTACATAACAACGTATGCAAGTTTACTCATGCTCATTGTATGTGTATGTGTGATCGTATTGGTAATATTGCAGTTAAATGTGATGTAGTCCTTGATACTCATGCACATGAATTTGGCTTAAGTAAAGAAAATAATCAGGGTTATTTAATCAAGAATTATATATACACGCGTGTTTATTCAGCATCGACACCCTTTCTGCTTTTTATATATTGTTTTTTTTATTGTGAATAGTCAAGCTGAACAAAAAAAAGATGAAAAAAAAAAGTGAATCATAGAATCGGTTTTAGAATCGATTAATTACAACGGACAGTCAATCATTAATTGAGCCGAACTTCCCATCACTAGCGGCAGGGCCGGCCCAAGCCTTCAGGGGGCCCTAAGCAGAATTTTATTTGGGGGCCCCTCTGTGCCACCAGTATGACTAATTATTGTCAATCCTTTATTATTCGCACACTATAAATCTAACACACCCAATATAATTTTTTTTTTGTAGCTGTGTTGCTTACATCATACCAATGTTTTTACCCTTGCTATGATCTTTAATTGTAACAGTAGCAAACCCACAGGAGTAGTCAGGTGTTAATTTGCACTTTAACATTCAAAGTTTTGCAGTACCAGTTGGCATACTTAATGTAGTGTACTGAAAAGTGGCAAAATAAACTAGTATACAATGCTCTTACTGTAAACACTTTAACCACTTTAATTTTTTTTTGTTACAACATGTAAAAAGTGCAATACAATCAACACAAATAAAATAAATAATAAAATATAAGGCTAACGTTAACCACTTTATTTACTTTTGGTCAGAAAATTTTGCAACATGTAAAAAGTGCAATACAATCAACTAAAAAATAAAATAAATAATATAATAAATAATAAAATATAAAGCTAAATACCAAAGAACTACAAATTAGTCAAATACAAACAGGATATTTTTATATGAAAAGACAAACTAACTC